AGAGAGGAGAGAGGTGAGGGGATGAGAGAAGAGAGAGGGGGATGCGGGGGGAGAGGGAGAGAGAGAGAGGAGAGAGGTGAGGGGAGAGAGAAGAGAGAGAGAGAGAGAGAGCGACGAGGGGCAGAGAGAGAAGGAGAGGAGAGAGAGACGAGAGCGAATGGAGAGGAGACGCGAGGAGCAGAGAGAGCAGAGAGAGAGCCGGGAGAGAGAGAAAGAGAAGAGAGAGAGACGAAAGAGCGCGCGGAGAGAGAGCAGGCACGCCAGAGAAATATAAAGAGGCTGAGAAAATGAGAGAGGGATAAGAGAGAGTATGAGGAGAGAATGAGCGAGAGAGCGAGAGAATGAGGGAGATAGAGAGATAGAGAGAGCAGAGAGAGAGCGCGCCACCCGATAGGAGGCCAAGGGACGGAGGGCCGGCGAACTTATAAATCATAGGTTTACCCGCGAAGTACTGCCATTTCGGTCTTGCACTCAGTCAATAGATGGTCGCAGGGCTAAACTATTACACACGCGCGCCGCACACACTGGCGCGCTGTGCTGAAGCCTAACAGATCCTCTACGCATCAACATTCGTGGCGCCTTGTTAAACAAGTTTCTGGGTCGTGCGTCTTTAAAGCAGGAAGGGTTCAGTTGGATGATGTAAACTATACATACGCCGTAGTGTCATATTGGTTCAGCAGCAATGCAGCGCAGCATCCCACAGCACGAGTATCCGCGCCTATTATACAGAGTAGCGGCATCCCCCACCCACTACGCCCTCGTAAGGGGTCGTTGTCGTATCAGTACTACAAGATATGTACCCGACGCGTACATATATGTGATACACAAAGACTTGTACTACAGAAGTGTACCCTAAGTCCCTCACCCTAACACAACCCTAACCCTAAAACCTCTACACCCTAAACCCTAAACATATACCTCATATAAAAATATAAACTAATACTAAACAACTAAAACTACCTCGGGAATATCTGTAGTACCTGATACGACAACGACCCCATCTGCCACACCGTTACGCCACGCCCACGCTCACACGCAGGCCCACGCACGCACGCCACTCCCTAAATTGTCTCTGTCTCTCCCTGCTCTCCTTTCGCTCTCCTCTCTCTCTTCCCTCCCTATTTGCTCTTCTCTTCACTCTCGCTCGCTCTTCGATATAATTGAAATTCTCTCTTTCCCTCTCTCTCAGATGCGCGTATCTCTCCGCTCTCGCTATATTTCTTTCCCTCTCATCCTCCTCCGAATCCCCTTATTTCTCTTCCTCTTCTCCAATTCCGTTCCTCCCCTCCTCCTCCCTTCTCCAGCGCTGATTGAACTGTTTCACACACTAACGAAGACGGAAGATTACCCACTCAGCCCCACCCCTAACCCCCTCTTACCCCCACTCAGCCACCCCCTAACCCCTCTGCACCCCACTCAGCCCCAACCCCCAACCCACTCAGCCCCACCCCCCTAACCCCCTCTCACCCCACTCGAGCCCCAACCCCTAACCCTCTCACCCCACTCAGCCCCAACCCCCTAACCCACTCAGCCCCACCCCCTAACCCCCTGCACCCCACTCAGGCCCAACCCCCAACCCACTCAGCCCCACCCCCCAACCCCCTCTCAACCCACTGCAGCCCCAACTCCTAACCCCCTCTCACCCCCACTCAGCTCCCATACCCCTAACCCACTTTCAGCCCCACCCCCTAAACCCCCTCTCATTCCCAGCTCAGCCCTCAACCCCAACCGACTCAGCCCCACCCCCCTAAACCCCCTCTGTACCCCACTGCAGCCACATTCCCCTAACCCCCTCTTGCGCTCCACTCAGCCCCACCCCTAACCCCCTCTTTACCCAACTCAGGCCGCCCAACCCCCTAACCACCATTATTGCCTCCACCCCCTACCCACTCTTTGCCTCCTCAGCCTCCCCCATAACCCTCTCTTGCCCCACTCAGCCCCACCCCTGAACGCCCCCTCTTGCCCCCACCCCCTAACCCCTCTGGCCTCACTAGCTCCCACCCCTAACACCCCCTCTTACCACACTCAGCCCTCACCCCCTAACCCCTCTTGGCCCCACTCAGCCCCACCCCCTAACCCCCTCTTACCCACCTCCCCCAGAAGGAACGCTCCCACGCAACGCCTCAGTTAGCAGCACGGGATAGACACTAGCTCCCAAGACATTACCGGGAAGAGCAGGATAAGAGGGAAAGCACCGTCACTACACCATCATTCATGCCAGAGCCATATATCTCTATATTATATAGATATACGGCTCTGATTCATGCAGCTTATAGGATGCGGCCTCCCAAGGAAAGGACACAATCGATGAAGAATTTATTGAATTGCAGGTTATTAATTTTTTAAGCGAGTTTTTTTTCTGCATTACCCATTTCACTTAATTAATACCAGAAATATCGCCCCTTTATAGTACAAGGGCAGCGAGATAGTGTGCAAAATACGGATACACCGAAAAAGACTTCGCCCACCCCTATCGTATAGTGACCATATACAGTAAAAGCCAAGATCCAAAAAGTGATTTTTTTTCCCCCTCTATCGCACAACCAGACCATGCTTTACCGATCCTTTATTTACAATTCCCTGTGCCGGAATGTCAATGGGTGGGTTCGAAATAAGGTTAAAACTGCCTACGTCAACATACCATTTCTCTTCATTTCATATACCGCAGTCACCTGAGTAGTACTTGACCAGTTCGAAATTACTTTAAGATTTACGTTGAAACAAGTTTTACAAGGTGTGATCAGAGCCGTAGCCTGTGCGGCGGAGGGGCAAGGGGCAGCTGCCCCCTAGATTTGTGCAGTAAAATTAAAATACTACACAGATAAAAAAGGATTTATTTTGTAAATATTTTTTTCGCGTCACTTATCCATAAAGCCTTGTCTCAGACCCCACCCCTCACCACAGCTATGCGACGTCGATCAAGCGCCGCGCCCGTCCCTCCCCATTACACGGCTGAATCATGAGTCATGAAATCTTGCCCCCCACCAGGAATTTGCTCAGCCTACGGTGATTCCTACTGGCCACGCTACGCAGTTACTATTCTAACAGTGGCCTAGTGTATATGAGAGAACGACTAAATTTGAAGGTTGGGTTGTTCTGCAGGCATCTGCAGCTCGAGGATGCCAATCTATTTCGAACGTTGATTTTGTCAGGAGTCTATCAATAGTCTATTGATAGACTCCTGATTTGATGTAATTGTGAAAAGCAGTCTAATAATAGCATCAGCATCTCTCGCGTGAAACAGACGCGTGCCGGGGGCCACGCAGCGGACTCTGTCTCTCCCTCGCAGCCGCTCCGACTCTCTCATTAAGATTCTGACCTTTCGAAAGAATTAATGGCGGAAGGCGTACTTCCGTGAACATGAGCTGCGGCGTATGAACACTGCATGCGTGGGTGTCAATATCTGTACACATGCACGCACACGCACGCACGCACGCGACGCACGCACCGCACGCACGGCACGCACGCACGCCACACACACACACAACACAACACAGATATCGACATAATATATATATTATTTAATATATATAAAATATATACTATATTATATATATATATATAATATACACATCACATCGCCCCTGCTCGAACACGCGCGCACGCACACACGTACACACGCACGCGCGTAGACAGATAGACACGCATGTACGCAAACGTGCGCGCGCACGCACGTAAACACACACGCCACGAACGTAGGCACACACGCCACGCAAAGTGGACAACACACCCACGAAAGGATACAAACACGCCCCAAAGCACAAGGACCACCACACACGCACGAAAGTGGACACACACGCACGAAAGTGGACACACACGCACGAAAGTGGACACACACGCACGAAAGTGGACACACACACGCACGCACGTGAACACAACACGCACGCACACGTACACAACACGCACGCAGATCATACCTGCGCAATGCGCCGCACACGCGCGTATAACTTCCATACACGCGCGCGCACGCACGCA